AGTTTAACTTGTATTATTAAATTAAATAGTAGCCAATTAACACACTAAACAGCTTCTGAGATGAGACACCTTCCTTTTGGCTCAGTTACACACAGGAAATTTCCCCCATGAAATAGCAAAGATGCAACTGGGCAGCTGGTTGTATCTGGCCATCCTCAGGTGAATCAGATCCAGCAGAGAAAAAAAATAAAATAGCATGAGGATTTCAAGCCAGAACAGTGACAATTCCCTCCTGCTTACTCTCTTTCTCTGCATCTTCCTTCACCTTTGTAGCAGAAAGGGTGTGATGCTTCCTCCTGATGTTCTGTGAACAGTTTTGCACTCTCACCTTGCAAAAGAAATGACGTACATTTATTCTGCTCTGGGGATGGAGGAGAAGAATTGAGGAAGGAATCTGACCCCCGCAAATAAAAAGCAAAACCAACCAAACCAAAAAACCTTCAAAGAGCATTTAAAATTTTCCCCAAGATCACAAGGTGAGGAATTAATTTCCTCTCTGCCGCAGCGTTCCATAGCTTGAGCCCACTTCTGTCCCAGCACTTCATTTCCATAGGGAATCGGAGCCCGTTAACAGTTTCCCATTGAGGCAAATTGTAGCTCCGTGGATGTAAAACGCTCCTACTCGCATCTGGGCGTCACACGCTTGGTTGCACTGGTGAGAGCTGAAGACACAATGAGCATCATTCCCCCACAAAGCTGGTGAGCATCCTGGTCAGCTGTAGAGCGTAAGTCACCTGCTGAAGGTGGTACAGAGCACGGCTGTAACAGAGAACAACCGTCTGACATCTCCATTTGCAAAGCTTGACATGATTTTCCAGAAAGAGCAGGGTCAACTGCAGCATTTCCCTCTTACCACCTTCACAGCAACAAACTCCGGCATCGGCTATGCCCAAACCCCTGTGCTCCGGCGGTCTGACACTGTTGGATGTAAGATGTGATGCAAAATGTAATGTCAGATGTTGATGCTGTGTGTCAAAAGCATATTCGGTGTAGCTGCACACTGCATTTAACCCATCCTTTATTTGCTCCCTTCAAAAGGCTCAGGGAGGAAAAGCTGAGGCAACAGAAGCAGCAGCAGGAGGAAAAATTGCAAAGGGCCTTGGAAAGATCGCAGGCAACTATAAAAAAAAAGGTAAGTGCAGTAATTCACAGGAACACCTCGCCTCAACAGCCCGCTTCGGGGAAGCTGGGGGTACTTGAACATCAAGTGTTTAAGGGAAGAGTGGTACCAGGTCCTCCGTAGCTGGGGGGGACAGCACCCGTACTCACGTGTGGCCCAATTTACACAGCGGATGTAACTTAGGCACTGCTGGGAAGTCAGTTATACTGCGAGTTATTGCAGCTCCGTGTCCTTCCATCGTCCTTCTCCTATTCTGCCTTGGCCACCTCCATCACTTGCCAGTTTTCTCGGTATGCTCATTTCAACTGGTTAACTTGGCAGTATTAAAAAAAGCATGAAAATCTGCAAATGAGGAACTGGGCAGCAGCAAGACACTCCCAACAACAGCAGCAAGGCCCTAGATCAGCTCAGCTGTACCATCAAACAGTACCTTTTTTGGCATGGTCCGCATTAACGCCAAACTGAGCTTGGTCCCCCGGGAGGCACCATGAGAGCTTCAGGCCACGGCTCCTGCGGCACGTTTCACAGGTCAACACGACAGCGAGGGCATCCCAGTCCTCAGCCACACACCGCACCAGTGACAGCATGGGCGATTGAGAACAGGCGCCATGAGTCCCTGCCCCTTTACCCAAGTCAAAATAAGAGGGTTCTGCAGGCTGCCTCAGACATTTCTTCGGACTTCCCTGCCGCTTGAGATAGTACAAAGAAGGCTTTAGTCAGAAACTAGTTGCAGGTGCAATAGTAAGTTGTAGAAGCTGAAGCACGAGCACATGCATGGCCTTCAGGTGCTTCACACTCATTTTCTAATGGAAAAAAAACACACTTAATAGACACACTGAAACCTGCCTCGAAAAAAGCAAGGGGCCACGGCCCCTCGCAGCATGAAGCAGCTTTAGCCGCGCGGTTCGGACACGCTGCTCCAACACAGCACTGATGCCCGCGCCTCTTCTTCCTCCGCAGAGCGGCGGGAGGCTGGTGTTTCCTCCCAACCCACCTGCCAGGAGGGAGAAGAAAAAGCACAGCCAAGAACAAATGGATAAGGAGAAGGAAGAACAATTCTATTATTTCACTTGACAGCACAGCCTTAACCACAGCATGCAGGGCTGATGCTGCTCCAGAAAAAGGTTTTCATAGATCTACATTCTGTTAGTCTTTGCTCAGTTGATGAACTTCACAGTCCCGTGAAATTCCCTTCTTCAACTACCTAAGATCTTCTCCTACCCTAAGATCCCAGGGAAAGTTGCTGTGTCAGCCAACCCCTTCCCCCCCCCCCCCCTTCTTTTTTCGCCTAAGAAAAAAAAATTTTCTCTTTTCTTTTAC